AAGGGGATCTGTGACATACTTACTCTCCCTTCCTCTCTTAACAGTGGTTTAGACCTACTATTTATAATTCATCTCTACTTTATATGGATATGAGATGTTATAGTGAGACTTTCCTCCCCAAATAGTTAAAGTGATATCATTGAAAAAGAAATTTAGTTTTTTAAAAACTAATTCTTTAAATGGTTGGTTTGTGTTTTTTTCTCTGCAGAGAAAGTTAGAGAAATTCAAGAAAAACTTGATGCCTTCATTGAAGCCCTTCATCAGGAGAAATGAACTGTATTATGTGAGTAAAAATTCTTTTATTTAATTGGTACATACTAAATACAAAATTTCTGTTTTAACTTATTTTAGTAGTTCATCATTCCATTTGTATCCTGATTTCCTCTCATAATGCAATAGTTTTATGGCACGAATCTCTAAAAGCAAGTTCTAAATTCCATATAAAAAGTTTTTTATATAATCTGATTGCATTCTGATTGATATAAATCATTTTGAACAGAAGCCACATTGTTATTAGGCGCTGTTAAGTGGGCTTCAAGTCATTGTAACCTTGTGTACAACAGATCAAAACTTCCCAATCCAGTGCTTTCCCCAGCCTCCACTGTGTTCACACCCATTGACCCTGCGTCAACCCGTCTTATCGACGACCTTTTTTGCTGACCCCTCCACTTTTCCTGCCATAATGGTCCTTTTTTAAGGACTAGCCCCTCCTGACAGTATGCCAAAGTACATGAGATGAAGTCTCACAGTTTTTGCAAATTTTTTTTTTATTTGCAGGATAGTTTTCTTTTTTTTTTTTTTAATTTATTTTATTTTTTTTTTTTTGCAGGATAGTTTTCAATCATTCACACATGTTTTGTTTTATAACACTAATTCTGTTTGCCTAAAGTAATTGTTTAGTTATGATAGCCGACCAGCTTTGCCTTGCACATTGTCTTTCCCTTGACTCAAATGATGGTCATTAATTTTTACTCCCTTCCTCTCTTTGATAATTATAAAATCTTTGTGTCTAAGGAGCACTCTTGCTATACTTCTTCCAAGACATTTGTTCATTCGATTCCAAGATTTGTTCATTCTTTTGACAATCCATGGTATCCACAGAACTCTTCACCAGCACCATAACTCAAGGGCATCAGTTCTTCTTTGGTCTTCTTTCCTCATTGTTCAGCTGTATGCATGTGAAGCAGTTGAAAATACTGTGGCTTAACTCAGCCCTACCTTAGTCTTTAAACTGACATCCTTATTTTTTAGTACTTTAAAGAGGTCTTTGACAGATTTTCCACATGCAATACATCTTTGTATTTCTTGGTTGCTGGGTGTTGATCATGGATCCATATTATGCAGCATGATCTAGAAAATAAACGTTCTGCACGTAGAATTGAACTTCTTTTAATCTACTTAAGTAGCAGATTTTGTAGCCTTTTTTTTTGACCAAACGTCTCAATACCTCCTCATCCCCACCAGTTTCCTATGTGTGCTATGTGCACTTGTTACAATAATGTTTATAGAATTTAATATATGTCAGAATATGTTGACTCTGTTATAGCCCTATGAGTATAAGCATTATTCCAATAAAATACATACCTAAGGACTTCCTGCGGTAGCAGCCAATTTTTAATTATCTCTAAACACTTAGAAAAACATTATAATTATGACATTATCGTTCATTTAAACTCACATTATCTATTCATCTTATCTACAGACAGCCTACACAATATTCCATATGGGAAGGAGTAAAAATGTTAAAAATTCACTCCCTGGCTGCCTTCCATTTTGTTCAAAATGGGCCTTTAAGCAAAACCTCCTACTTTGTTCTACTGGGTTTTATAAAAGAGGTTTGAAAAGAAAGCACACCTCAGCCTGCCTGTCGCTGAGAACAGTGTGTTAAACCTACAGTGAGTGAGAGAGGGATGCATTAGAAAGCGTTGGATTTTCAAGTAAAGCTTTACTTCTTTTTTGTTAAGACTGATGTATCAATCATCTTTAGCAAAGAACAAAAATAATTTTGCTGTTTTAAACATGCCTGTGTTCATCAGGATTTTCTGTATGCTCAGTGTATGAAAATGCATTTTAAAGCCATAAGATGGTATGCTGCTCTCCTCCTCCTCATAATTACTGTTATTAGTTCTTAGTGATGATGCTTCGAGACCCTCCTTGGCTCGGAGGTGGCTCTCTTTACCATCAGGGATCACCTGGTGTTTTGATCTCACATATGACCTTACAGGCAGGGGTAGATCTACGAAAGCAGCAGAAGTGCCTTTTAAACATGCAAACTGCGGGGAGGAGCTCAGAGTTAGCTGTTGTTTTTTTATGCTCTCTCTCCCTTCCCTGAGCTCTTCATTGTGACCTAAGAGTTGCCTGTGCTGCTAGAGTCGCCTTTTCCTGCCAGCATGCTTGTCCCAGCCGCAGGTCAGGACAGTCCGACAGGCCAATGTGTGAGACCCCTGTGCTCAAGGAGGCCCCAGTGTGTAGAACCATCCCAGCTCCTTGTCCCCACCTCTCTAGAGTCTCCAAGACCCTTCCCGTGTCATTTATGAGTGAACTATTGTAAAATAGTGGGAAATTGGATTATCTCTTTTGTCTGCTGCTGCTCCATTGAAAAGAATAAATGTGGCAAAATTACTCTTGTTTCAAATAGTTTCTGAAGTATTCATTTTTTTTGAAGTATTCATATTTATTATATATAAATATTTTCTATAATAATTTTAATAGTAAAATTTTACTGGAGCGCGCCTATAGTTTTATAATGATTTCATATAAAAATTTAAAATTTTCTTACTCTAGTTATTATTTGATTCTACTTATTATAAAAATGGCCATCACATAAGAGATTTTATTTTATAATCTACTTCATACTCTTTTTTTTTTTCTTTGTACTCTTTTTCTTGGAGTTCTTTGGGTTATAGTTCTCTTATCCTCTACCTATGCACTCTTTTTTAAATAACATCAACACATTCTTAATAGTCATTTCTCTGAAACTTAATATGCAAAGTTGAAGACTGTCACAAAATATTTCAGAAACAAGTATTTCTTGTTTCAATAAATGTGGCAAAATTACTCTTGTCATAAAGAACTCTTGTTTCATTCTGAACATTTATAAAAGCTACCAAGCATGCTAAGGAAGAATTGTTGTTATGTGCCGTCAAGTCGGAATCAACCCATAGCTGACCCTCTGGCAGGTTTTCAGAGGCAGTTAATCTCACAGAAGGAGATTGCCCATCCTTCTCCCAGAGAGCAGCTGGTGGATTTGGTCTGCCTTTGGATTACAGCACAGCTTTTTGCCACTAGGCCGTTCGGACTCATGCCAACCCATGTATGTAGTCTCTTTCCATTGGATTTTTAAGGCTGTGTGTGATTTAGAAGCGAATCTCTAGCCTTCTCTTCTAAGTTGAGCTTGAACTCCCAATCTTTGGGTCCTGCTGTCAAAAGATTAATCACCTGTGCCACCCAAGAACTCCAAAGAATAGTAACACACTAGACTCATAGCACAAGCCACGGTGTTCTCGATTGTCAAAAGGACCAGTCCTTGGAAACAAGCATCGTGCAAGGTGGAGGGTCAGGGAAAGAGGAAGACCCTCAAGGTGAATTGACACAGTGTCTGTAACTATGGGCTCCAGTGTCCCAAGATTGCGGATGGTGCAGGGTACAGCACAGTTCCAGTCCATTGTCCTTGGAGTCACTGTGAGTCAACAACAACAGGCTAACTCGGGAAAAACCTTCATCCAGTTCTCAGTTACTGCATTGTCTGGGGTTCCTCAGCCTGGTTAAATTTAAGTAATGGTAATTGTAAAACCTGGTAATGATACTTATATCTAAAACAGCTATACAAACAGACTTTCTCTACCCATCAATCTTCATACAGAAGGCAATTTATTTTCCCCTTTTCTGTAAGAAAATAAATTACAGCATATTTAAGAATCATGTATCATGTTTGAGAAAATTATGCTAAGATTGTGGTGGGTGATACTTTAAGTAATAGAAGTAGCAAACTTAGGAAAGTACACTTCTTTGTTGTTTTTTTAATGAGTTTGTTTAGGAAATTTTTTTGTATGTCTCCCTAGATGTAAATTTCTGAAATATTTTTCTTTTTCAGAATTTCACTCATAATTGCCTCTTGTATACATATGAAGAAGGAAAACTTCCAAGTCCTATGTCCTGTCTCTTCTTTCTCTGCTATTCCACCTCTCTAAACGTACAATAAAGTCATGGGATAAAAATAATGTGTGCGTGTTAGAGACGCAGTAACCACCAGCTGCCCTTTAAATGAAAGACCAGTGGACATGGCATTAAATGCCCTATTGTATTGTATTGAAATGACAAATTGGGATAACATAAGTGTATGGCCATTAAGTACAGTACTTGAAAATAAGAAATTGCTCGCCTGCTTGTTGTCTCGTTTGTGGTGGCGCTAGTACAATTCATTCTTTAGCTAATGTAACCTGATGCCAGTTTCTTTCCCAGAAAAACAATGGCTGCTAGATATTTTGAAATCAAGCTTAATTGTATATAAAATGATGATAACCTGCTAAATTATTGTTTGTATTTGTAATGTTCTATACCTGGGAGATATTTGTCCATGGCATGGTACTTCAGTTTATATTCACCATGCAAAATAAAATTAACAGAAAAACTCTTCAGATAGATTAATTTGATTATTTAAAAAAGAAATCACTGTTTAGTCAGAAATTTCTGCCCTTCATTGAAAGCTTACAGACTTGCCTAGAAAGCTAAGTTAGTAGCAGTTTACCTGTTTGGGTTGATGGTTTTGTACTCGCCACACCCTTTCAAATTATTTTGAATGTTATATACTTATTTTCTGTTAATAGTGACTTTTTCCTGTTGACAGAGACTCTGGATTATGACACAGGATGAGGACTATTAGGATAATCAATTGACTGATGTCATTTAGAGTATTCTCAAGCATCTTAGTTAAATTATCAAGCGAACACTGTCTTTCACAAGACAACATTTTAAATTGTGATTTCCACAATTAGGATACTATTGAATACTCTCTATTAGCTGGATGTTTAAAGGAAAATTTGACATTGAATTCACTGAAGGTCAATTATAATTAGTGCCCTTATGTTATTTTCATGTGTTTTGTATAAATATTTTTTATTGGCTAAAGGACTTTAAAGAATTACGCCATTTTGACTTAAAATGTTTTTCTAATTTGAATCTACTCTTTGCTGCTTTTTCATTATGCTTTATTATTATAATAAAAATGGCCATCATATGAGAGTTTTTATTTTACAATTTGCTTAGTACTCCTTTTCTTGGAATTGTTTTTTGGGAATTGTTTTCTTATCCCCTATCCATGCCCCCTTTTTTAAAATAACATCAATACTTTCTTAATTGTCATTTCTCTGAAGGCTCTCACAAAAATATTTCCGAAACTAGTATTTCACTTCAGCTTAGTAAATATTTGTTTTATACTGTTTAGTAACAGTGCGTCCACTTCAAAGCAGCTGGTAGCAGTATATACGGTTACTTGCTAGATGAGTGGTCGACAAGACTTTCTGCTCCTTTCCTGTCTAGGTACAGTGGTGACCAGCGTGTAGAGAGCTCCAGGTTTAGGGCACAACTTGGTTAGAAAAATTCCCCTCACCAGTGTGGGCCCACTGGTTAACCCTCAGTGGCGCAGACATAAGGAAATGCTAATGACGTTGGATTTGGGGAATTTGTTATAAAACACAACTCATCTCTGTCTAGAGAAAAAAGAAAATAGGACCATATTTATTCCTGGGAGCTAAGGTCTAGAAAAAACGACCTCCATTGTACAGACTTCTCACAAGTAAAAGGCGAATGTAAGTCTACTTTAATCACGCGTTGTACATTTTCTTTTTAAAAGGAGATAGGTGACACCTTCATTTCTTTGAAGTAATCAATATTGTAATTTAAATATATAAATATATTTATTAATATTACGAAATATTTCGTTATTTCAGACATCCCCTTAACCTCCCTCAGTACTTTCAGAGATATTTTGGAGGGTTTTTGTTTGGGGTTTTTTCAGTTGATCTCAAATTAAGCATGCAGTTGTTTGAAAGCTAGATATTTATTAACACAATTGTTAATGAAAGTAAAAATAAAACTTGTCTCTCAGCAGTAACACTGTGTGTCATGCTTGTAGCTAAAAGAATTGGAAATTATGTTAAGTCTAAACAACAAATTGCCATTTAAGATATTCCATATACAGAAGTTGACTTCTAACTGGAACTGAAGTCATTTTTATATCATGCCAGAATTTTCGAAGAATGGAGTGAGCAAAGCTCTGTGTAGAAAGATTTGTGTCCAAAATTTACTTGATGAGTATATCAGTTTTTAAAAATCAGCATATAAGAACATAAACAATAGAAAACAAATGGTTTTTGTTACAGATGGGGCAATCAAATCAGTCTTTCTTAGTCCTTTCATTTTATTCCTTCTTTGTATTATTCTAATTTTCTAGGCTTTAATCCAACACAGGCCTTCTCCTCACAAATAATTCAGCCTCCAAAATGCACATGAATAGTGAAAGACTGTGTGGGGAACCTTGTCGATAGTGGTGTTTCCCAGCCTTACAACTTGGGAATTTTACAGATAATAAAAAACGTTAAGAGAGTCCGTTTAGAAGACAGCCTAACTAGCTAATATTAGGTGCATTTATCTGTGAAATTAAATGTGGTATTTAACTTTCTAATAAAGGGGATCAAAGCAATGGTTTTTACCTCAGTTCTTTTAACTGACTTTTGCTATGGTTTCGCAATACAAAAATGTGCTTTAAAATATGCTTATGTAAAAAAAATATGCTTATGTTTTGAATATTCATGGATATGTGTTATTTAAATACCTAAAACATCTTGTTTGAACTTGTGCACGATGAATGAACTTTGTATTGCGTTTTTTTTTTTATTTTAACTCTTCATCCTACCTGCTAATGTTATTGCAACTTACATTTCACATGTGGCTGATCTGAGGTCATTTGTCCAAATAATTAAAAGGTATTTAAATCTCACCATAATTCTACTATTAAAGAGCATCTTTTACACTTTCTCTGCTTTGGTGAGGGGGAGAGAGGTCTCTATTTTGCCCGGAGGTGGTGGCGCAGTGATTAAAAGCTCAGCTGCTAGCCAGAAGGTCAGTGGTTGGGGCCCAGTAGCCTGTGCAGGAGAAGAGATCTAGGTCTGCGTCTAGAAAGCGTCATCCCCTCCCTGCCGTTAGGTCAGTCCCCCTGGACATGTGCAGCCCATGCGTTCGTGGCGCACCTCACCACAGACTGCACCACGTTGGCAGCCCTGGCGGAGCCCTTCTGCTCAGTCCTGTAGGATTCTTATGAGTTGGAGTAGACCTGATGGCTGCGGATGTTGGTTGACTTCTCTTCCCTGCTTACTTCACCCATTGCTGTCATGCCAAGCTCATGACAACCCCTCACCAGGCTTCCAAGGCTGTAAACCTTTATGCACGAAGATGGCCTCTTCCTCCCTCAGAACAGCTGATGGATTCTAACCACTGACCCTTCAGTTGGCAACCCAATATATTATGAACTATGCCACCAAATCTTTTACCCCACAGAGTAGCCCAATTCGTGGTCAGGCAAGCCCCAGTGGGGGTGTTTTCTGAATGCTTGATTTTCATGTACCTTACGTTTCAGAGTTACATCCATGATCATCCAGAGCTGGTTTCCTTATCCTGCTGTGTACTGTAAAGTTGATTGTCACTCATTGCAACCCTAAAAGACCGTGTAACACAAACACACACACACACACCACTCATGTTTCCAAGGCTGGAATCCTTACAGAGGTGGAATCCCACATCTTTCTCCCATGGGACTGACTGATAGGTTTGAATTGCGAACCTTTAGGCTGATAGCTAAATGCTTACCCACTGGGCTTAATCACCTAGGCTCCTTTTTCCTATTTTAATATTCCCAGAGATGTTTTGGTTATTTTTTTACTAGATATGTGACATTTTTGTTTTCTAACTATGCTGCTGCCGTGGCCATAACTTTCATTAATGACATCAACATGCAGACTCTTTTGTGAGGCTTACTCGGCCCTCTTAGAACTGGAAAGAACCTTTGCTTGTCAGCTGCTGGGCCCAATAAAATGCTGCCATGCCCTGCTTTGTCCCCATGATGAGTTAGAGGTCAGACAAGTGATCCATAGTATTTTTATTGGCTGATTTTAAAAAAGGTTGCCAGACCTTTCTTCCTAATCCATTTTAGTCTTCACGCCCTGCTGAACCCTGTGCAACATCACAGCAACAACCAGTATCCATGGGTGTTACTGCATAAGAGTGCCCCTTGCTGAGAATTGAACCCAGGTCCACGTGGATGGCAAGAATTCTGCAACCCAGTTATAAAATCTCTTAGTTTGGTGTTGGTTTGTTGTTTTGGGTTTGTTTGTTTTCTTTAATCCCTCTCGGAAATTTGCTTAGAAAAGTTGATTATTAAGTGTTTGTTGATTACTACACACATAAAATAAGGCAAAGTGGTGGTGTGAATTCTAGGTTTATATAGTTAGGTAAAGTCAAAACTAGAAGACTGAGAGCCAAGATTCTTCCATGTGTATAATAAATACATTTTTGTTGGAGGATGGGTTCATGAATGTGATGTGTCAACATTGAGATAGAATCCCTTTACAGGATAAATAAACAAAACATTTCCGCCTTCTATCTCATTTTAATCTCACATGCAACAAACAATGTGAAACCCAAAAAAATGGCTGTATTTTAAATGATTGTGCCATTAGAGTTTGAAATCTTCACAAATCAAAAAAATAAAGGGCAAACACTTCACTGATGATTTAACAGTAATTTTTTGCTAATTTAGGTGAAATAGGTATACCATGGCTGAACTTTATGAAGAAGAATGTATCATAAGGGTTGGAGGAAATCTGTCTCATCAACAACTAGCATTATGCCCATGATACAACCTTGCATGCTGAAAGCAAGGAGGGCTAGAGACACTTGCTACAGAGGATCAAGGACTGCAGCCTTCAGTATGGATTGCATCTCAGCATCCAGAAAACAAAACTCACCACTGCACCAGTAGTACATCGTGATAGAGGGGAAAAGTATAGAAATTGTCAGCAATTTCATCTTGATTATATCCAAAGTCCTATTATGTCAGTTTACATTCTCAGGGGTGCTTTATTCAAGCACCTGCTGTACCTCTGAGAGGCAGACTGAAAAAAGGAAGACAGGAAAAGCATCACTGACTTTGAGTTGGGATGTTGGGGGAAGGTGCCGAATATCTCATTGACAGCTGAGAGAACAAATCTGTGTTTGGGGGAGAGTGCTGCTTGGAGGTAAGAATGGCAAAGCTTTGTCTCATTTTATTTGGGCGTATTGTTAAGAGAGGGACAGCATGCTTGAAGAAGTGAAGGGATCAGTGAAAGGAAGGAAGGCCCACAAGAATATGGGTTGATAGTGTCTCTGGTAATGGGACCAAGTGTGTCAGGGCTGATGAGGATGGTGTAAGAACACAGTTCAGTTCTGCTGTTGAGCCATGCTCGGC